CCTTATGACAACTGAATTTTATGGCAATAAAACTGTTATTTAAATAGGGAAAAAAGGGGGGGCGCCTGGGTGGCTCAGTTGGTTAAGCATCTTCCTTCAGCTCAGGTCATGATCTCATGGTCCTGGGATCAGGTCCAATGTTGGGCTCTTTGCTCAGCGGGGAACCTGCTTCTCCCTTTCCCTCTTCCTCTGCCACTCCCCCTGCTTGTGCTCTCTCCATCTCTTGCTCTCTCTCAAATAAATAAACAAAAATCTTAGGGGAAAAAAAAAGAAAAGAAAAGAAAGCAATGAGCAAAAGTGTGGCAGTCAGAGGGCTTGCAAAACAGGGAGGAGAAGGAAAGAGGTAATAGGAGAAAGGGAGGGTCCTAGCACTGGCATAGGCTGTTAGGGATAGAGTAGAGAAAAACGATTGAAAAGGATCTGGAAATGTGAATGGGGGGGAGGTGGCAGTGGTGGTGTGTATGAATATACAAGGGCTTTGTAAAAACAAAGTATCTAGGGTGCCTGGGTGGCTCAGTCAGTTATATCTCTGCCTTTGGCTCAGGTCATGATCTCAGGGTCCTGGGATTGAGCCCTGCATCGGGCTCCCTCCTCAGCAGGGAGTCTGCTTCCTCCTTCCGCCTCTCCTCCTGCTTGTGATCTCTCTCTCTCAAATAAATCTTAAAAATCTTTAAAAAAAAAATCTAATTTTCAATTTTCAGCTCTTCATTGGGCCTTTGCTCCAAATCACCAGCCAAGTGTGTTATAGGTACAGCACAGAATTGGTGGAACCAGGAATGAAGGGCTTAGTTAGTGAACAAGGGAAAGGAGAATTACAGGGGAGGCAAAAGCAGATAAAAGATTCAGAGAGTCGGGTACCTGAGTGGCGCAGAGTCAATTGAACGTCCAAACCTTGGTTTTGGCTCAGGTCATGATCTTGTGGTTGTGGGATCAAGCCCCACTCAGAGCTCTGAACTCAGTGCAGAGACTGCTTAAGATTCTCTCTCTCCCTGCCCCCTCCCTGCTTGTGCTCTCTCTCTCTCAAATAAATGAATATATTGAAGGAAGGAAAGGAAAAGGAAAGGAGAAAGGAATGCAAGCAAGCAAGCAAAATTCAGCAAACGTCAGGAGTGCTCGGCAGAGTCCAAGCTTCTGAAGAATTCCTGGAGTTTTTGGTAGGGATTCTGGGTATCCTTACTCTAATGGGAAATACCCAGCTGGCTTGATTTTTTTTTCTTTCTTCCTTCCTTCCTTCCTTCCTTCCCTTTCTTTCTTTTTCTTCCAAGTGCCAGTGTGTGGATGGAGGGTGGGGCAGAGGGTGAGGGAGAATCCCAACCAGGCTCCACACCCAGCTTGGAGTCTGAGCTAGATGTCAAGACCCTGAGATCATGACCTGAGCCAAAACCAAGAGTCAGATGCTCAACCAACTGAACCACCCAGGTGCCCCAGTGACTAGGTCCTTTTAAGTAAATTTTAAGAGGCAAGGCGCCCTCAAAAAGTTGAGAGGTGGAAGGTATTCAAGAGACTGCCATCTGGGGCACCTGTGTCATCCATTTTCCAATGGATTCCCATTGCCCTTAGAATAAAGCTCCCCACAACTTAGAAAGCCCCAAGTGTCTGGCCCTCTTTCAGACCGAGCTAAATCCCCACTGAAGGGACTTAGAATGTTCCTCCCCAAAATTTTTCCATGGCCAAAAGGTTCATGGCCACCTCCCTCTCATTACTGAGGCCCAACTCAAGCCCCATCTCCTCGGGGACCTTCCCTGACCACCCAGTCCCTACCACAACACCCACTTTATGTTCTTTAGAACACTAATCACTAGCTCAAATTCCCTGATTATGGATATGCTCAGGGGCTTATCATTGGTCTCTCCTCCTCTTGAAGGTCATCTCTGTGCCTTGCAAACAGGAAGCTGGTCCGGGTCTCTTCTTGCTCTTGAGCCCCAGAGCCTGGCCCTGCACACAAGGGCTTCAGAAATATTTGCTCATGTCCTTCACTCACCCAACAACTAGTATTTGACCAGCTGCTGTGCACGGCATCCTGTGCACGAAGCTGGGCATGACAGCTCCAGCCACAGCCCTCAAAGGCCCCCTGAGCTAGTAGAAGAGACAGCCAAGTCAGCAGTCTCGGCAGGGGTGAGTGCTGTCCCTGGGGAGGTACAGAGTATGAGGCTGGCTGTGCCTCATCCACACCGGGAGGAGGAGGCATCAGAGAGGGCGTTCTGGAGAAAAGGAAAGCTAAGACATGAGGCTAAATTAGAGTTGACTCAGGGGAAGGAGGGGAGAGGGTGACGTGTAGCCCAGGCAGAGAGAACAGTGTGTGCAGAGGCCGGATGGGAAGGGAGCCCAGACATTAGAGGAATTGAAAGTAGTTCAGTCTGGCAAGAACCTGGCAGCAAGTGGCAAGAGATGATGCTGGAAACACAGGCAGAGCCAGGCTGGAGAGGACCTTGCAAATGGAGCTAAGGAGTTGAGGAAGAGCACTAGGGAGCCATGGGAGGTGTTTGAGCAGGGTAGTGGCAGCGTTAGGTTTGTAAACAGCCCACTGTTCTTGTGGTGTGGGGAACGGTCTGGAGATAGGGAGCCAGTGAAGAAGCTGGGGTGAGAAATGTGGGATGGAGAGAAGTAAGCAGATTCTAGCAAGGTTTGGGAGATAGAATTAGTAGCGTTTGGTGACTAATTAGTTTTGGGGGGTGGGGATTGCTGGGGATAACACCCAGGTTCCCAGCTTAAGCTAGTGATTGGTAGCGTTACTTACCGAACAGGGAAACCCAGGTTTAGGTACAGGTGACAAAAGTTCTGAATGGGACAGGCTGAGTTTCGGGAAAGCCTGTCCCACTCAGGGACAGCAAGTCAGCAAGCGATTATTATGTGAGTTTCCCCAGGGCATAAGCACTGTCTTTTTTATCTGTGTGCTCCCAGTCAGCAGGCCCTGGCCCCACAGAATATTAAAAAGGACCCACAACAGGGGCACCTGGGTGTTTCAGTGGGTGAAAGCCTCTGCCTTTGGCTCAGGTCATGATCCCAGGGTCCTGGGATGGAGCCCCGCATTGGGCTCTCTGCTCAGCGGGGGGCCCCCACCCCCCACCCCGACTGCCTCTCTGCCTACTTGTGATCTCTGTCAAATAAATAAATAAAATCTTTAAAAAAAAAAAAAAAAAGACCCACGACAGAGTCATAACAACAGTGCTAGCCTTGATAACTGGGTGGAAAACAGGTCTTAGATAAAACCCACAGGCCAGGGGCGCCTGGGTGGTTCAGTTGTTAAGCATCTGCCTTTGGCTCAGGTCATGATCCCGGGTTCCTGGGATCCAGCCATGCATCAGGCTCCCTGCTCAGCAAGAAGCCTGCTTCTCCCTCTCCCTCTGCTCCTCCCCCAACTCATGCTTGCTCTTTCTCTCAAATGAATAAATAAAATCTTAAAAAAAAAAAAAAGAACGATAATGCTTCCACAGGGCTGTTTTGAGGGTTGACAGAGTGTCGACAAAAGCAGTTTGTTCAGATGGGAGAGAGGGGTCCAGGGATGGGAAGCTGTGATACTTCTCAGGACGAGAGAGTGGCACACCTGAATGTGGGTGTGGCCAGAGGGGCGGAGCAGAAATCTGAGTGCGGGACAGGCACTCAGCTCTGGGGGTTTCAGGCTGGCAGGAGGGTCTCCGTCCCTCTGCCTGGACTCCCTGAGTCAATTGCTTGGGTCCTCTTCCTTCCAATGACACAGTGGGTCTCAGAGCTCCCTGACAAATGGAGACAAAGCTATTCCTGCCAAGTGCTGATGGACTGTGGAGCTCAAGCGTCTGCCTCGCTCCTTGGCTGGGAACCAGGACCCAGGTCTGGAGCCTGTGGGAGGCAGAATAATGCCCTCCCCCACTTCTCCTCCCCCACAAGATGTCCCTCTCCTAATCCCTGGAGCTCCCGAATGGGTTACTTTATAGGGCTAAAGAGATTTTGCAGACAGGATTAAGTTAAAGACTTTGAGATGGGGGGAGTCTCCTGGATGATCCAGGGCCTCCCATAATCACAATGGGCTTCGGAGGATGGAAGAGGGAGGCAGGAGCATCAGGAAAGGAGATGAGGTGATGGAAGCAGAGGTCGGAGTGATGCACTTACTTGCTGGCTGCAAGGAGGTCAGGAGCCGGTATGGGATGTGGACAGCCTGGAAAGTTAAGGAAATAGATGCTCCTGAAAGAACACCAACCTGCCCATACCTTGAGCTTAGTGCAAGAAGACCCACTTCGAACTGGTGACCTAAGAAACTATAGGATGGGGTGCCTGGGTAGCCGTCGGCTGAGCATCCAACTCTTGGTTTCAGCTCAGGTCATGGTCTCAGGGTCCTGCAACTGAGCCCCGAGTGGGTCTCCACAGTGGGCGAGGAGTCTGCTTCTCCCTCCCCCTCTGCTCTTCCCCCCGCTCACTCTCTCAAATAAATAAAACTTTGGCGGGGGGAAGCTTTATAGGATAATAAATTTGTGTTGTTTTAAGCCATTTCGTTTATGATAACAGGGTACAGCAGCCATGCGAAAGCAAAGAGCCTGCAGGCCAGGCATGGAAGACAGAGGCTTGACCACGACAGTTGCTTTTTACTCACTCTGAGCCTGAGAGGGGCTCTGGCAAGATCCCCCACTTCTCTCTGCCCCTGGAGCTCTGGGTGAGCTGCCCCAGGAGCAGCCCCTGGGAATGCCCCAGTGCTGTTCTGCTCTTATCTCCCTGCCTCTTCTCGAGTTTTGCTTCTAGTGACCCTGCCCATCTTGCAATGTGTCTTGGAGCAGACCCTTTCCTTCAGTGGAAAAATTTCTCTACATGCAAAAGAAAGGCAGAGATGGGCTCCGAGACCCTATGGGGCCTCCCAGGCCTTGTATCATGAGTCAGCATTTCCAAGATGTGGGGGCCTGCTGAGATCTCTCCTAAGATGCTTTTGAACTACCTTCCATTCCCAAGCCAGTTTTCTCCAGAGTCCTAACCAGTCTTTCCTGCTGCTACAAATGATGCACTTGTGCCCACAAGTTAAAAGATGGCGGGGGGGGGACACAATGCTTTATTGACTTGGCACCTATGAACAGGTGGCTACAGGCCCCCAGGGTTCTTTGCTCCTGCAAAGTGGGGGCTCTGTGGTGGGGGCAGCATAAATCAGAGATGCTGGTTCCAGCTGCTCGGAGGGGCCACTGTCCCTGCTTTGGCCCCTCCAGTCCCCTTGTCCAGCCAAGCACCATCTGAGTCTGGGCTCTTGGAGAAGGCCAGGGCAATGACCGGGGTTCTTCTACAGCCCCAGACAGTCAAAGGTAAGAGCTGTGGGCCTCTCTTGCCTTCCCTCTTCTTGCAGAATCCCAATATGGGTGGGGGTAAGGGAGATACCCCATTTACAGAGAGCCCCTGAGCCTCCTGGACCAGGGTCCAGGAAGATGCTATAACAGGAGCCCCACCAAAGAAGAGAGTTAAGTCATTCCCTTCCCCCCACTTTATGTTTTGGCTGTGCAGAAAATGGGAGCTCTCACTGAACCGGGCCCATGGTAGTTGATGACAGGTGAGGTCACACAGAAGGTTGATGGGTAGAGTCAGGCTCTAGGCTCCTCCAGGCAGGACCACACTGTCTGAGTGGGTTCTCTCCCAGGCAAGAGGAGGAAAGGGTAGGGTGAACTGAAGTTGTCACAGGAGGAGGGCTTCCTGGGGGAAGAGGGAAAAGCCACAGCAGGCTCCCAGAAGAGATGGTCTGCAGAACGGGCTGGGTCACAATGACCGGCACAGGACACTGGCATCCTCACTGTGGTCACAGTTGTGGGCATCCCAGCGTATGTGAGAACAGAGCAGAAGAGTACTCTCATCCCCTCGGCATTTGACATTGTCCAGGAGGATAGGGCCTCGGCCTGGGCCAAAGTGGGCCTCGCCAGGAGCTGCCAGGGCCTGGCCACAGCCCAGCTGGCGGCACAGGACAGTGGCTGCCCGCAGGTCCCAGGCATCATCACAAACAGTGCCCCACCGTTGCCCTAGGAAGAGTTCTACACGCCCCTCACATTGATGGGCTCCATTGACCAGACGCAGGTGCCCTGTGGAGACAAGGATCAGGGCTTGCAGAGGCTGGCCCATGCCAGGCCATGAAGGGGTAGACGGAAGAGGCAAATGGTGGTGGTCTGAGACACAGCATTGCTCTAGGGGCTGATGGATAACGGCAGACAAATCAGATTAAAATAGGACGGGCAGCAGTCCAGACTCAGTCTCTGGACTGGAAGAGCATGCCCCAGCCTTTGTGGGGTGCTGTGCACATCCCAAGTGCTCCATGTCTGTTCTTAGTCCTCTGTTCATAATCCCAGACCCTTAGCCCCAGCACTGCTCTCTGGAGACTGAGATTGTGTCCCCTGAAGGTCATCATCTCCACTCACTCACAGGTTTAAAAGTGAATCCTTTCGTTTCTCTCTTCAGGAAGGAGCCACATACCCTTATTTTGGTTCCTGTCCCTAGGAATCCTGAAGATCGCTCCCTTGAAACCCCCCTACCTCTTTTTGGACACCATATCCCTATTAATGAAAACAGAGACTAGCACAGAACAAAGATTATCAAACCTGGTGCAAATCTGTTGAGCTGTGTAACCTCAGGCTATTCTCTCCCTGGATTCTGGTCCTTCCTATCCTGATGCCTCTACTTCCATCTTTAGGATTGTGAGCACCTACCGTCCCTTGGCCAAGGAGTGGGTACCCGGGTGGTCTCAGAACTATCCTGCTGGACTTGCAGTCCTAGCTCCTCTGGGCCTGGCTCAGCAAGGACAAAGAAAAAGAAAGAGGTGGCCGTCACATTAGGGAACACGTTCCTTGAGGCCAGGTTACCTCCCGGCCTCCCAAGGGAAGCCTGATTTAGGGGTAGAGAAAAGTCCTGAAGGACAACTGCTCTCTGCCACTTGGATCAGAAATGGGGTTTGCTGGGCCGCCTGGGAGGCTCAGTCGGACTCTCGGTTTCCACTGGGGTCAGGATCGCAGGGTCATAGTGGGTCTCCCCACTCTCTCTCCCCTCTGCCCGTTCCCCCCCCTGCTCATACTCTCTCTCTCTCTCAAATCAATAAATGAGGATTGTTTTTCTTTTACCCTGGAACCCAAAGCAGAAGCCTTTGAAGTTACCCCTTTGCGGCCAAAGCTATTAGGCCCAGGGCACCAAAGGAGGGTGAAGTTATCAATTTCCACCCCAATCAATGAACAGAAGCATTTAAAAATAGGTCAGACTCTACAAACACCCCTTCCCACTGATTCCTCCCGAAGGTCAGACGCTTGCTCCCAGAAGGCTGATGAACTCTCTCTTACTAGAGCTTTGTGGGTCCTTGACTCAGCAGAGCCAAAGTACCGCGACCCCTCCCTTAACACAGATTTCCAGACTTTGTCCCGGGCTTTCCACCTCTCACCTCCGGCCCGCCCCTCCCTGCCGCAGAGCGCGAGCCCTCACCAAGCCCCACCCCACTCCCTCTGCAGAGGGCGCTCCCTTCCCGGCTCCGCCCGCGCCGCGCAGCCGCAGAGCGCGTCGATGGTCGGGCTCCGCCTCCCTCTGCGCAGTGCGCGCGTCCTCTCCGGTCCCGCTCACGCTGCCGTGCCGCAGAGAGCCCCCACGCCTGACCCCGCCCATTCTCTACAGCCCGCCTTGTCCCGCCTGCGCTGCAGTACGCGCCTGCGCGCGGCCCCGCCCATTCTGCGGAGGCCGTGCTGCGCGGCCCCGCCCGCCCCGAAGTGCGCGCATCTGCTCGGTCCCGCGGCGGTCTTACCTGAGCAGAGCGCCCCGGCGTCTTCGTGGTGGCCGCAGTTGTGCTGACCCCAGCCCAGGTGAAAGCAGTCGCTCAGGCGGGCCTCCGTTCCGGCGCAGCCCACGTTGTCCAGCAGCACCGGGCCGCGCCCGTAGCCGAAGTGGCCGAGGCCGGTGGCGCCCAACGCAGGCCCACAGCCCGCCTCGCGGCAGGCCACGCGCGCATCCGCGAAGTCCCAGTCATCGTCGCACACGGTGCCCCAGCCCCCGGCGTACATCACCTCCACGCGGCCGCGGCACGGGCCCGGGCCGCCCACCAGCCGCAGCCGCCCGCCTGCGGGGCGCACAGGCCCGCGGGCATAGGGGCTGGGCTGCGGCCTCTGGCTTCCAGAGCCCCAGCCCCACCGTCGCCCACCCTCCCCAGAACCCTGGCTCTGCCACTTACTTTTCTTCCCCGCGGCCCACGTAGCGGTGGTGAACAGTGCCATCTCCCTGGAAGGCAGGGCACCAACTCCTGTAGCTGCAGAGACAGGGTATCTAGAGCACTTGAAGGGGACAAAGAGGCCTTCTGGCCTGCAGCAGGGCACAGGGATGCCTATGAGATCCCCCAGCTGCACCACACCTGTACCCCACACAGCTTCAATCCTAGTATCACCATGTCGGTCACCTGTGGTGCTTGGGAAACTTAACTGGAATGAACAGAATCCTATTTCCAGGCATTATCCTAATTTCGATCCTAATGATAGTTCCAGACCAAATTCCAAATGTGCAGGCAGCCTGCGTTCAACCTTCAGCTCAACCCTCTCAAGGCCACTCCATTGCCAACCTCAGCACCCACCCAAATGTTACCTCAGAGCTTCAAAGCAATCCCTTACTGTCTCCTCCCACCTTGCTGAACTTTCCAGAGCTCTGGATTTCATCCTTGCTTCATCTGCTCCTCGTTCTCTCACCCACCTCTTCACCATCTGGCCAAAAGAACTGGTCGGTGCACCAGGGCCCCCTTCTAGTAGATCCAGAACAGCCTTTCTAATTCCCAGCCCGGCCTACCTTGCCCCTACCATTCCAGCCTGGAAGGCTGGGCTCCTTACCTTCTGGCTCCGTGTGCCAGGCCCAGTCCTCTTTTGTGGCCAAGGGTGGTAGTGCTGTGAGAGTCGGGAGGCCTAGCACTAGAGCAGGAGAGAAGGGAGCAGGGTCAGAGGCCAAGGTTCCTGGTCAGCCTTGGGCTGTCAGGGGAGAATGGGAGGGTGTCCCTGGAGAAGACAAAAGATTTTACTTCCAGTAAAAAGCCCAGTGGGGCTCAACCCCCCTGGGGTCCAAGGAGGTCTGCCCTGCTTGACCGTGTATGTAATTTACTTGGGGTGCACTGTTGTACATTCCACTATTTATAAGGAGCTTGCAAAACAAGATTCACTCTCATATTAAAGACAAAATAGGACTAGAAAGAGCAAGGGTCATGCTGGAGACTGGGCAGCAAGGTTAGCTGTGGCTTTGCCCGGGTTCGGTGTCTGAACATGGGTCAGGCTCTGTCTCAAGGGGCCTATGCTCTCCCATCTGTAAACCAGGAATGAGGGCCCCTGGTTTGCCGTGAGACATGGGCAAACAATTTGTATCTTGTAGACTGGAGTACAGCTGTGAAGTGCCATTACTGGTCCTATTCTTTTTTTTTTTTTTAAGATGTTATTTATTTATTTATTTGACAGATAGAGATCACAAGTAGGCAGAGAGGCAGGCGGGGTGGGGGGGGGCGCGGGGAGCAGGTTCCCTGCTGAGCAGAAAGCCCCACCCGGGGCTCCATCCCAGGACCCGGGGATCATGACCTGAGCCGAAGGCAGAGGCTTAACCCACTGAGCCACTCAGGCGCCCCTGGTCCTATTATTCTTATTTGCTCAAAAAACTCTTAAAATCGGAGAAGGACCAGGTGGGTGAAAATGCTATTATAAGAGCATCCAGAATCTGGATACATCGCTGACTACAGTGAGAGAATTCAGGAATATCTCTGGTGCAATTCTAGAGTAATATTACTTTACTCTTTAGTATTCCATGAAGAGTACCTAGAAATTGCTAGAAAATTCCGGGGGCATTCTTGGGGTGCTGCTAGATAATTCTGGAGTATTGCTGGCACAATACTTGAAACCTACCACAAAGACTTACAGAGGCAGTACTAGAGCAGTACTGAGACGGACATTAAAAGTGATTTCGGGGTCTTCCTGGAAAGCACCGGGGAGCATTGAGGCACCTCCACCCCAGCCTTCCCCGGGCCGGCCCCGTCCCGGTCCCCGCCGCGAGTCCGACCCCCCTCCCCCGAGTCCGCACCTGCGCAGAGCGCGCCGGCGTCCTCATGGTGGCCGCAGTTATGCACACCCCAGCCCAGGCTCAGGCAGGCTGCCAGGCGGGGCTCCCCGCCTTCGCAGTGTACGTTGTCCAGCAGGATGTGCCCCGTGCCATAGCCGAAGAAGGCGTTGGTGGTGGCGGCCAGGGCGGCCCCACAGCCCAGCTGGCGGCAGACCACGGCAGCATCCGGCAGCCCCCAGTCGTCGTCGCACACGGTGCCCCACAGGCCGCCGTGCAGGATCTCCACCCTGCCCTGACACGGGCCCGTGCCCCCCACCAGGCGCACGCTGCCCTCACCTGGTGGTGGGGGGGGACAGGGCGCATCTCCCACAGGGCTCTGCCTCCCTCACCATCAGTACACCTGACCCGCCGCGCCCACAGTGCCTCAGGCCCCGCACGTACCCACAGCGCATGGTGCCCCAGGACCCAAAACCAAGGAAGAGCAGTTCACCCAGTTACCCCAGGGCACTGCCTCCTCACAGTCCCAGATTGGGGGAGGTTTGTGGGATCGGGACAGACTGGCTTTGCGTGTGTCATTTCCTGCCTAAAACCAACCTTCCTAGCCCTGGTCCATGAGCTCCTAAGCAATCTTAACCCTATAGCATATGCTGTTTCCTCACTTACCACTTCAGTGAAAGCCGCCTCACCTTTCCAGGTGCATTGCCAACAACTCTTCCTCTAGGAAGCCCTCCTTGATCTCGGATAGATGAGACCCACTTCCTCCTCTGGACTTCTTGCCTGTTTATCTGTCCATCCTTTAGGGCACTTTCCATTTTCTTGCTCTACATCATTACCCACATTTCTGTACATATCTGACTTTCCCATCGCATTAAGCTCCGGTATCCAGCTCTTTCACTAAACTTGTGCTGACTATTTTTACTCATCCCACGGGAATGGTTTCCTCTCTCCCTCTCCAGCCTGTGAGCAGCCTGGGGGGCTGCGAGGGGCTGGATGGGGAGGGAATGACTCAGCTCACCCAGTGGTTATCCCTCTCTCCCCACCGTCAAGGGTAGATATGGGAGACTCCCCTTGGGGTTCTTAAGGCCCAGGTGATCCCCTGTGTTGCCCTTACTTACCTTTCCCATGCTGGGGAGTTGTAGGGGGCACCCTACTCGTGAACACTTTCCTTGTTGGGGGCTGCGTGGGCAAGAATTCTGGGAAGGAAGCAGGGTGGGAGGGAGGAGGATACATGGATCTTTCTGTTCTTCATCCTCACACCCACGGTTGTCTGAGCAGCAGGGCATGGACCCCTAAGGTACCTGCCATAGGGCCTCTGGCCACACAAAGGGTCAAAGCCAGGAACCCTGGGGTATGAGAGGAGAAGGGGTCCCCTGAGTCCAGAAAGCCATAGCTTCAGATGACTTCTTAGAGCAACATCCCATTACTTGAGAACATACTGGAAACGCAAATTTCCAGGCCCCACCCCAGACCTGCAGAATCAGAAACCCACGGTCTGTGTTTTAATGAGCCCACCAGGTGATTTTCTTGGAAAACTAGAACCATTACTCTCAAGGTCAATGCCTCTCAGAGATTTCTGCTGCAGCTCCACACCAGATGGACCTCGCTGCCAGTACGGACCCCACTTGTTTGATTTAAAAAATGGGGAGAGGCCTCTGCTGGAACCATCAAAGCCCTACACAGAAACAAGAACGTTGGTTCTCCTTCAGCCAAGATCACACCATGAAGCGGAAGGACCACTGGGACGCTGACAACCAGGACTAGCCAATGCCACCCCTGGTGTGGCCTCTCGCGTGGAAGTCCCTTCATTCATCCAGCCTGCAGCCCTGCTGCCTGCCCTCCCTGGCCACAGGTCTCTGCTTACCGTTGCATAGGACAGCCACGTCTTCGTAGTGGAAGCAATTATGGACGCCCCAGCCTCGGCTGCGGCACTGGCTCAGCGAGGCTTCCTGCCCGCCACACTCCACGTTGTCCAGCAGGATGGGGCCTCGGCCTTGGCCGAAGGCTAGGGGCCGCGGCACGGGCAGCGCCAGGCCGCAGCCCAGCTGTCGACACACCACGTTGGCATCCACCACATCCCAGTCATCGTCACAGACGCTGCCCCAGGAGCTGCCGTGCAAGACCTCCAGGCGCCCCCGGCAACGGCTCGGGCCCCCCACCAGCCTCAGCTCTGTGGAGAGTGTTGAACTGGCACCAGAGGGATCGCAGGGCCTGATGGGCAGGACGCCCACCTTGCTGTGAAGCTGTGGGAGCCTGAGGATCAGTCCCTTTGGGGCCTCATTTCTCCCTCTCGGTCCAATGGGGAGACCAGCGCAATCCATTTGGGGGCCTCTAGTTACCGTGGGCTGGTTAGTCATCACTCCCCGAGGATCTGTTTTAGCCTCTGAGTAGGTGGGGGCAGGGCAGGGTGTGGGCAGGAGGGGCAGAGACACCTACCTGGAAAGGGCAGTGGGGCGGGCTGTAGGGCACTGGCTGAAACAGAATGAGGAGGAGCCTTGGCCCCTCTACACCCTCCCTGGGACTCCTGGCCCTGGGGACGCAGCCTCCCCCCCAACTCCCCACCGCCATCCTTACCACCAACCCCCTCCTCTTCACTTCCCCTGCCTTCTCCAAGCTTCTCCTCTCTCTCCCCGCGACTGCCCCAGTGGGCCTCCTTGCCTCACCCATCTCCCGTCACCCCAGAGAGATCTACCTGAAACAGGGGTCTTTTATCTCCCTCCACTGCAAGACTCCACATTTCCCGGAGGAGTCCCCGACCCCGAGCTTTCTCTGCAAAGCCTTCTAGTACCTTCTGACCAGCTTCCCCTGACTTTTTTTTTAAATTATATTTTTTAATTAAATTTAAATGTTTATAAATTTTTAAAGTAATCTTGACCCAAAGTGGGGCTGGAACTCACAACCCCGAGATCAAGAGTCACACGCTATACCTGCTGAGCCAACCAGGCCCCCAGCATCCCCCCACCTCCGACTTCTTTATATCCCATCAGTCTTATCGCTGGGTCTTTAACCCTGCAGTGTCCTCTGCTTGAACAGTTCTGCTCATTACAGCCCTGCAGCTCCTTCCAGGTACAGCTCGGAACCCCCTCCTCCGGGAAGCCTTCCTGGAGCCCTCAGCTAGAAGTGCTCTTGGTTTCCTCCAAATCCCTGATCACTAGCTACATGCCCCTTTCTGGGCTTTCTGCCTGGTGATGTGGCTGTGCCCGTCTCATCTCGGTGTTTCCCGGCCCCACCCCTTTGCCCCCGCCCCAAGCCATGGTCACTAGCTTGGCCTTAAGTGCTTTTGGGATTCATTAGGATATCCCCCAAAACATTTACCTATACAAGACCTTCTGCTTGAGCCCTCATGTCTGTATACACCAGGCACTGTGCTCATTTTATGTGCCTGGCTCACTAAACCACTAAGATGACGTATGAGGTGGTGGGTAGGGTTGTGCACATGGGGAAGGTCAGGTTTCGTGAGTTTAGGCAACTCGCTCAAGGCCATACAGTGAACAGGGAGTAGAGCTGGGATTCCAACCCAGACCGCCACACTCTTCTTCACCACACAATACTGGGCACATGGCCTGAGAGGTGGGGAGGTAAACAGGGAAACTGGCCTGGCATGGGAAATGGAAAACCCCTAACAGCTCCTTGCTTGCATGCAGGGTATTATAGGTCCCAGACACGTTCGTGTACGTTACTTCATAGAATCCTTACAACAGTGCTCCGAGGTGTGTACTACTGTACCCATTTTACAGATGAAGAAACTGAGACTGAGTTTCTTCTTTTCTCAAGTTAGGATCATCTCTAGGATCATCCCTGCCTTTTGAATAGCCACTGCTGAGCCCACTCCTGTCCCTCCTTCCCTATTTCCAATGTCCCCTACCTGCCCAGACTCTGTGTAGTCTGAGCCCTCACCTCCAGCACTGAGTCCTCCATTTCCCCAATGAGGACCCTTAAGTCAACCCTGAACAAGTGTCAGCTGGAAAGAACTTCGGAAACCACCTCACTGACAAATCACAGCTGGGAAAACCCGAGAGCCAGAAAGGGGACAGGTCAGGAGTTAGGGGAGGGCACTCACCCAGGGGCAAGAGGAGGAGGAAGGACAGGGCTGGGGGGAGGGGTAAAGGGGAGTTGCTTCTGTCTCCTGGCCTCCAACCCCTGCTCCTCTCTGTCCGCTGGGGATCAATTCGCATCTCTGCTTCCGGGAGCAACCAGCCAGGGGATGGCCTTTCGGAGGGTCCCATCAAGGGGCGGTGGAGAAGTCACAGCTGGAACATCTGGAATTAAAGATCCCCAGTCACTTCCAGCTGGAAGGGGCCCAGTGAGAGCTTCAGGGGGATGTGATATTTCTGCTTGCATCTGGCATTCTGAGTGGAGACAGGAGCAGGGGCAATGGCGGGGACCACTGGAAAGGACAGGACAGAGCGCAGGGCTCTAGCGAGCAGGTATGTCTGGTGGGAGTGGAGGGTGTGTGAGAGCAAGTGGCAGGAGGCAAAGCTGGAGGGTTGCCTCATCCCAGGCCAACATGGGCCTGGGAGGTCTTGCAGAGGGCTCAGCGCATCCCAAAGCCCGGTGTTGGTGCCACAGGTGGTAATCCATATAATTTTAGTGGGCAATAAAAGGATGTTTACTCTTTTCTTTTCCTTTTCTTCTTTTCTTTCTTTCTTTCAACAGTGTTTTCTATTTATGCCAAAGGCTTCTGGTTTTCCATTTACTTGGAGCAATAAAAGTTTCTCTTTAGAGTTAATTTAAAGGGACTCTTGGCTCAGTCGGTTAAGAGTCTGCCTTCAGCTCAGGTCATGATCCCAGGGTCCTGGGATCGTGCCCTGCCTCCCTGCACAGCGGGGAGCCTGCTTCTCCCTCTCTCACTCCCCCTGCATGTGCACTCTCTCTGTCTGTCTCTCTCTGATAAATAAATAAATAATATCTTTGAAATATATATATATATGTGTGTGTGTGTGTGTGTGTGTGTGTGTATGTAAATAATGAAGTTAATTTAAGTAAGAAGAAATTAGTCAAATTAAGGGGGGAAAAATCAAGGAAACATGGTTCCCATGACTCTCAAATATGCCAAAATGGGGAAGGGGTGGGAGACTAGATGCCACGTGGGATGTTCTATCCCTCTGGAGTAGGAAGCCCTTGAAGACGCTTGTTTTAGGTTTGGATTGAGGGGGTGCCTGGGTGGCTCAGCAGGTTAAAGCCTCTGCCTTTTGGCTCAGGTCATGATCTTAGGGTCCTGGGATCAAGCCCCGCATCAGGCTCTCTGCTCAGCAGGGAGCCTGCTTCCTCCTCTCTCTCTGCCTGCCTCTCTGCCTGCTTGTGATCTCTGTCAAATAAATAAAATTTTAAAAAAATCTTAAAAAAAATTATTTTTGGATTGAGGAGGGGCTCCTGGCTGGCTCAGTTGGAAGAGCACATGACTTGTGATCTCAGGATCATGAGTTTGAGCCCCATGTTGGGTGTAGCGATGACTTAAAACTAAGTAAATAAATTTGTGGGGGGGTGTCTGGGCAGCTCAGTCGGTTAAGCCTCTGTTGATTTCAGCTCAGGTCCTGGTCTCAGGGTCATGGGATCGAGTCCCACGTCAGGCTCTATGCTCAGCGCAGTCTCCTTGTCCCTCTCCCCATCCCCTCTCAAGAAGATGAGTGGACAAAACCTTAAATAAATAAATTTTGGATCGAGGTATACAAGCCCCAAAGTGCATAAATTGGACGTGTAGTGCTCAGCGAACATTTGCCCCATGTAAGCGGCATCCCGGTAAGACCCCATGTCCCCCTTCCTGGCAGACCTTCTGCAGGAGTCTGATACAGTGCCTGGACAGCAGTGGGATGGTTTGTATGGGGGAGATGGGAGTCTGGTTTAGTGGACGGGTCTGGGATGTACTGAGAGGGAGATACCTCCCAGAGGGAGAGAGCCCCTGTCTCCCCTTGGCTTGGCCTCCGTCCTGGCATACAAACAGTCTGGTTGGGGAAGGACTGAAAACCTATCTGCATGTGGGCATGGGGTTTTCAATGCTCCATTCATGGGGCCCAGGACAGCCCCCAGTGGAATAATCAGCTTTTGTCCTCCCTCTGCCTGACCTGGGAACAGCTGGGAGATGGGGAGTGGAGGACTGGAGGAGGGGCAGCCATGGGCCAATCTTTGCTGAGGGGCTCCATAGTGATCGGGGCCTGGCCCTGCCTCACCTCCGGGACCCCAGGTGGAAGTGAGGCTTAACTGTTCCTTGCCCTCCATGAACTATGACTCTCTGAAGTTCTCACACTCCCTCCCCTCCCTTTATTAATGCACCTTTTGCCTTTATAGCTTGGGGGGGGGCAGGCAGCATAACTCAATGCTCATCTCCACACCTACTAGCTGTGTGCCCTCACTGTCCTCATCTGTGAAATGGGCTTAGGAATACACTTCGCTCCAACCATTGTTGCTGGGTTAAAGGAGCTAAAGTTTATAAAAGGTTTAGCCCAATGCCCGGCCCACCCTACGCTTGGTACCTATTTTACTGTTACTACTCTCTGTGGACCTTTGAGGGCAGAGGCAAGATCTTATCCAACGGCAGCATCTGGCACAGGGTGGGTACTCGAGAAATGTTTGTTGAATGACTGAGTGAAGTTTAGGGCTGCAGAATCATAGAATGAAGCTGTCCAAAGGGGCCCAGGAGATCATCAAGGGTAATCCCACGTCTGACCAGTAGAAAACTTGCCATTCTCTCTCACTCTCTGTCTCTCTGTCTCTCTCTCTCTCTCTCTCTCTCTCTCACACACACACACACACACACACACACACACACCAGCAAAAGTGAAGTATTCATACCTGGGGGAATGTTCTAGGCTCTTTCTGTCCCCTCTTCCACAGTCTTTCCAAGGTCAAATTTCAAATCACTTTTTCTGCCCCCAGGAGTTCAGGAGGGGGAAGGATCCCCCAAAAGCAAATCAACACAGACCTTTTTTCTTCTTTTCTTTCCAGAGCTGGAAGGTGAGCAGAGGCAAAGTCCCCGTCCATGGAGCTGGCTGGTGGCCCCAGCCTGTCCCCACCCGACCTCGGGGGCAGAGGGAGGCAAAGGGAGAGTGGAGGTGACCCGCACGGTCTGGAGCAGCCCCAGAGAAGGGGCACCCAGGCAGAGGAGGAGCTCCGGGGTGGGGGGACAGGCGTGGACTCTCAGGGCCAGGCAGCCCCTCCTTCCCCTTCCTCCTACCCCAGGGCTCGGGTTTCAGAAAGGCAGCTCAGCCAAGCATCCCTGAGCTCCTGCAACAGGCCTGATCCAGCCCTGACTCCGGTTGCCCCAGGGAGTCCCCTCCATCGAGCCCTGACCCACGTCCCGCGGTGGGGTTGGAAACATGGCCCCAGAGTGTGTGTGGTGGGCTCTCCATGCAGGTAGGGCCTCTGATCTCGCTGCTCGTTTTGCCTTCCTGTTATTCCCCTTGACTCCTGGTGCCTTTTGAGCTTTGAGGCTTTTCTAGTTATCGGTGACGGGAACAGGCATGTGGCTTCTATAGCTTGAGGCTTCCATAATGCTTTGCTGGAACTGTGCACCTTCCCTCCTGAACCACAAACTCTCAAAGCCAGAGAACCCCCACAGGGCACTTCCCCAACCTGGCTGTGCCCCCACATCCGCCCCGGGGAAGGGGGGGGCTCCTTAAAACTATATACAAATTCCTGCCCCCACCACTCTGCTATGGACATTCACAGATAGGGTCCCCCAAAAGCGTACTTCTGAAAAGCTCCTGGGGATCCAACATGTTTGGGGACCAGGGGCGTCGTTCAAACGGTTTATCCTGCAGGTGGGAAGACGAGGCTAAGAGAGGAAAACGGAAACACAGCCCAGGCTCCAGGAAGGGCTTAATTTCCTGGCTCTGGGGCCTGATCCTGCTTCCCGTCTCTCAGAGAAAGAGACAACTCTGCAGGGAGGTCTGCCGTCACCCTGCTCCCAAATCTATTCGCCCTCGTGTGTCTGCACCCAGCCCTCCTTCCCTCCTGGCTCTTTCTTCCTCCCCTGGCCTGACCGAACGGCTCCCCCGCAGTCCAGACCCCGGTCCTTCTGCCTCATCAAGGACCTCCCTCTCTCCATCTGTGCATCTTCTCCCCCATATTCAGCTGCTCTTTCCCAACTGGATGCTTCACACAGGGCATCTGAGCATCCTCTGGTCTCTGTCATGAAAAGCAAGTGACAGGGGCTCCTAGGTGGCTCAGTGGGTTAAAGCCTCTGCCTTTGGCTCAGGTCATGGTCTCAGGGTCCTGGGATGAAGCCCAGCATCGGGCTCTCTGCTCAGCAGGGAGCCTGCTTCCCCCACCCTCTCTCCGCACTGCTGCTCTGCCTACTTGTGATCTCTGTCTGTCAAATAAATAAATAAAATCTTTAAAAAAAAGAAAAGAAAAGAAAAGCAAGTGACAGAAAACCCTTTCAACCTGTGGTTGGTAGGTCCTCAGGGTAGAAACGGTCAGGCCCTAGTTTCTGTGTCTGTCTCTGGCTGGAGGATGCCCCAGGAGTGCCTGGGTGCTCTGATGCTCTAGCCTTAGAAGGTGCTAGAACTAGAGGCTGCCCGCTGCCTGAGCTCCTCACGGTTCGTTAGCGAGTTCTTTCTAGCAGGGAGATCAGAGCAGGCGAGCATTGGCATGTGTGCTGCCAGGAGACACCGCGGGGCCCCCTCCTGCAGCCGGTGCGCCGTCCTTCTCCTCCCCATCACAGCCAGACTCCACAAAAATGCTGCGCGCTCACGCATGTCCACCTGCTTACCTCTCTCCAGGCCTGGCTTGCTCTGGTCTGCCTTCGGTGCTCACCACTCCGCTGAAGCAACTCTTCCTAAGGTCACCAGTGACCTCTGTGCCCTGAGATCCCAGGGAAGATTTTCATTCCTTGTTTTAGTTAGAGCAGGAGCTCTGGGGGTGTCTGGGTGGCTCAGTCAGTTACGCGTCTGCCTTTGGTTCTAGTCATGGTCTCAGGATTCTAGAATTGAGCCCCACGTCAGGCTCCCTGCTCAGTGGGGAGCTTGCATCTCCCTCTCCCTCTGCTGTTCTCCCTGTGGTTCTCTCTCTCTGTTAAATAAATAAATAAATAAATAAATAAATAAGTCTTTTAAAAATGAAATTAAATAAATAAATCCATAAAAGTGGGGCACCTGGCTGGCTCAGTTAAAAGAACACAAGTCTGGGGCACCTGGGTGGCTCAGTGGGTTAAAGCCTCTGCCTTCAACTCAGGTCATGATCTCGGGGACCTGGGATCGAGCCCCGCATCGGGCTCTCTGCTCAGCAGGGAGCCTGCTTCCCCCTCTCTCTCTGCCTGCTTCTCTGACGACTTTCCATCTCTGTCTCTGTCAAATAAATAAATAAAATCTTTAGAAAAAAAAAAAGAACACGAGACTTTTTTTTTTTTTTAAGTACTGTAGATTTTCAAAACATCCTATCACCTAGAGGTTGAACACATATTTCCAGGTCTTTCTTTCTTTCTTTCTTTCGAACAGATTTTATTTATTTATTTGACAGACAGAGATCACAAGTAGGTAGAGAGGCAGACAGAAAGAGGAAGGGAAGCAGGCTTCCCGCTGAGCAGAGACCCTGATGTGAGGACTCGATTCCAGGAACCTGGGATCAGGACCTGAGCCGAAGGCAGAGGCTTTAACTCACTGAGCCACCCAGTTGCCCCTATTTCCAGGTTTTTAAAAAATATTGTATTTATTTATTTGAGAGAGAGAGAGAGAGCAAAGGTAGACTCTCAAGCAGACTCGGCTGCTGAGCACAGAGCCCTAGACACCGGGCTTGATCTCACAATGCTGATATCTGGACCAGAGCCAAAAACCAAGAGTAGGATGCTCAACTGACTGTGCCACCTAGGTGCCCCCAAATGATCATTTTCTAAATGATCCTTCCTCCTATGATAGTGTTCTACTGTAAGGAAGCTTCTTCCCTTTCATGGAAAAATATTCCCATTTTTGTGTTTTTATGCATTGTCAGAATGGCTGCCCATGGATTCTTACTTTATTCTTACTTCGATGTGGAGTCCTTGTTGTACTCATTCACTTGATGCACAGTTGTCCCCAGCTTGGCCAGTGGGACCATTCCCCCAACCCCCCCATTCAATTTGGCTTGTGTCCTTTTGACGCATCCTCATCATTTTGTGATCATTTTTTTTGCCATAACAAGATACTCCAGATTGATCTTGTACTTTCCTGGCCCTTGCTCTGGAATCAGCCAGTCCTCCAAGGAGCCCTGGGTCCCCCAGTTACAAAGGATTAGCATTTAGAGACCAGTGTCCGGGCTTTAAGGAATTTCAAGGGAAACCCTCTGGGCTGGTGGCTCCGCCTTTGGTGATTTTGGCCACCAGGGAGCAGCACTTCTCAGAAAAATGCAAAAAACCCAGAATCTGGGCTAGTTGGGGAGATTGGGGGCTGGACTGGCCAGTCTCCTCCATGGTCCTTTTTCTGGAAAGGGGACACACAAACTTACCAACACTTCAAGTGCATACACTCCTCTGCCCTCACCCCCTCCCCAATTTCTTCCTGTCTTGTTTTTTGTTTGTAAACTCTAAGCCCAACATGGAGCTTAAACCCACACTCTGAGATCAGGAATCACATGCCCCACCAACCGACCCAGCCAGGTGTCCCATGTCCTTTTATCCTGGATCCTTCTAGAAGGGGTTGGTTCCGGGGCATAGAGGGAGAGGGGATGGATCCCAAGGTTTCAAGGAGGCCCTCATTTCTAGTCCCCAAGCCCACCCCACCCTATTTCCAGCACAGTCCACAAACACAGCTGTGAGCTACAAGCATGGAGAGGCCCCTTCCCCCAGAGGGCCACCACTCCTAAGACAGAGTGTCTCCAACTAGCTGTTCTTTGGGGCCACAGGCCACAGCTGGCTCCCTTTCTCTGGCCCTGGTACGTAGGTTAAAAAGAAAACCACAGGCCCCAAAAGGCATCACTTCTGTTAAGGACCCAAGTCAGTAAACCAAGATTTAATACCTAATTTGCAGTTTCAACCCCTCAGAAATGTAACTTTTTTTTTAAGTATTTATTTATTTTTAAGATTTAGTTTAGAGACAGTGAGAGAGACTGCAAGGGAGGGTGGGCAGAGGGAGAGAGAGACTCTCAAGCAGGCTCCCGCTGAGCCTGGAGCCTGATGTGGGGCTTAACCTCACTATGCTGAGATCAGGATCCAAGTCGAAACCGAGTCAGAGATTCAACAGATGGAGCCATCCAGGCACCCCAAAAGATTGATTTGTTTTATAGAGAGAGGGAGAGAGAGCACATGGGAGGGAGGGGCAGAGGGAGAGAAGCAGACTCCCTGCGGAGCATAGAGCTGGACCTGGGACTCAGTCCCATGACCCTGAGATCATGACCTCCTGAGTTGAAATCAAGAGTCAGACACCTAACCGACTGAGCCACCCAGGCACCCCAGAAATGTAACCTTTAACCAGCCAACCTAGGAATTTCCTGCACTAGGGTCAGCACTAGAACGTTTACTGAAAGATCCCTTCCATTCCCCTTCGGAGGGCGACCTTGCCTAAAACAATGAATTCTTTCTAATGATTTCCTTTGTTCTACTCCCTGTGTTTATTTTTTTTAAAGATTTTATTTATTTATTTGAAAAAGAGAGAGAGAGAGAGCAAGAGCGGGGTGGGCGGAGAAGGAGAGAGGGAGAGGGAGAGAGAGAAGCACACCCCCACTGACCACAGAGCCCAACTCAGAACCTGATCCCAGGACCCTGAAATGATGACCCGAGCCAAAGTCAGAACCTTAGCTCCCTAAGCCACCCGGGTGCCCCTTCCTCTCTCTCTCTTTTTTTTTTTTTTTAAGATTTTATTCATTTATTTGACAGACAGAGATCACAATTACGCAGAGAGGCAGGCAGGGGACGGGGAAAGCAGGCTCCCTGCTGAGCAGAGAGCCCGATGCAGAGCTCGATCCCAGGACCCTGAGACCAGGACCCGAGCTGAAGGCAGAGACTTCAACCCACTAAGCCACCCAGGCACCCCGCTTCCTCTCTATTTTTAAAAACCTTTCATTTCCTGTGGCCCTTTGGGGTTCCCCTTTACCTGTTAGATGGTGTGCCACCTGATTCATGAACCAAATAATAAAGCCAATTAGCTCTTTAAAATTTCCCGAGTTGGGGTGCCTGGCTGGCTCAGTCAGTGGTGCATGCGATTCTTGATCCTGGGGTTGTAAGTTCGAGCCCCACATTCGGTATAGAGATCATTTAAAAATAAAATCTTTGGGGCACCTGGGTGGCTTAGGTGCTTCCTCCTCTCTCTCTCTGCCTGCCTCTCTGCCTACTAGTGATCTCTGTCTGTCAAATAAATAAATAAAA